TTACAGTAGCTTCATTATGTCAACTGGGGAGGACAAATGCCAAGCTCACTGAAATGACCGTGTGACAGTTTTTCTTTAAGTTGTGAAATCAATTTATAAATATCATATCTAAGCTCTTTGTTTTAATTGACATTTGCAATAGCTCTAATAAGCAAAAAAACACATTAATTTTTAGCAACTAAAGTAGGTTGTAGAAGCATTCAGCTAGGCCTGTCAATAAACAAATCTGTTGGAGGTCCAACTTTGCATCTAAAGCAACATTTGTGCTTATTTCACGGATTTCATATCATGTAAATCCTTGGTGGGTTTTGGAGGCTTTGGGCTGGATGCTGCTTAGTTGGTAATGCTCATTGGCATTCAAACACTGCTGGAGTGCAGCAGAGCACAGCAGCCTGTTATAGAGGGGGAGTGTGTGAAACAGAGAGATGAAGAATGAACCAAGAAGAGACATTTTAAATGAGTAAACTGCACAGAAATATACAGTAGATTTCTAACCTCTGGCCTGAAGGCAGCTTCATTGATTGAGCAGCTGTCTACAAGATCTATACGCTGTCTATACTTGTTTGTTATCAATTAAAATGTGTCCATACAGAACAGAGCATCAAAATCTGTAAAGTACTGAGAGTTGGCATTAAATGTCTGAACATAACTGTGGTCTTGTTTAATTATTCATGGTTCAGATATTTCTTAATTTAAATGATATTTTAACTCTTTAGTTCTTGTATTGCTATTGTTGTTTAAACAGCATTAAACACGTGAAGTTTGGCTTCTTTTGCTAAAGGTGTCCCTTTAGTGTTTTCTTATAAACAAAGTTTACACTCAACAATGTCGGGACCCACTGGGAAAAACACTGCTCCACGGTGCTACTAGTGGGCAAAAGTCCACAGGGTACCTTTTTTAAATGAAGGGTTTTACAGAAAAAGGCATCAGAACAGAACAGACATAAAGAACAGACTCCAAAAATGTCCATTAAGTTGAATTAACACCTCTCCAGAACTGTTTCAACAAAATGAAACATTCTTTAAGAAAGATATAACATTGTATACGATTGCATTAATGTGGCTCAGCTAATAAACTACTAACTGAGTATATTTTATCCATCTAGTACACTATTTAGGCCATACCCTAATACTTGAAATTGATTACTTTGAATAATGAGATAAGAAGATAATTAATATATTATCATAAAAAGAATGTGTTATCCTGGGATAACAAGTCAATTAATTACTGATCACGAGCTTGAAGATTAAAATTATAATTGTATCCTCGGCTGCTCTCACCTGTGAAAAGCCAATCATTCAATATGATGTGTTGAATAGTAAATGAAGTGAACTACTTAAAGTGGAGTCGCCCCTGATGGAGGAAATCCCGGGCAGCAGTTATTCTCTGCTCTCTCGTTGTAATTCACAGCAACTATTTCTCTGTTTGTCTTTCACAGACAGGCCGTCTTAAACGTGTTGAACTAACTTCACCCTCCTCAGCTGCTGCAGTGCAGAAGAGGCCTTTTCACACAGGAAGATGTGTAATTAGGTTTTCACTCGATGTCACTTTTGACCCTCTTCCGCTTTCCCGTCTGCCTCTCATGCGGTCTGTTTCTGTCACTTTCTCTTTCTCTTTTCCTTTCCCTCCCTTGGTGAGAGGAGAGGCTTCTTTTTTTTTATTTAAGAGGTTCTGGTGTTTGTATAGCTACACACATTCACACACTCTACAGGCGAGCTTCCTCTCACAGCCACACACAGATTTCATAAGGACTTGAGGACAGGGTCATCAGAAACACATATAGTTTATGTCACAGAAGTGTTTATCAGGTGTGCTGTATAACCTGCCAACCCGCCACCTGACAATAAACCTTTCTTTTATTATGAAGGCGTGAATCATGTTTCACAGTGCCCTAATTCCTTGTATTATACCACATAATGTCCAGCCAGCCGGTGTTGGGTGTTTTCTAAGCGGTATCCTCCTCTGTGTGGATGAGTCGGTGAAAAAAAAAAAGGCCAGGCTCGCAGGAAGGGTAGTTCGAACACTGAGATAATAAAGATAGAGTGATACATTAAGCGATGAGTGACAGACCAATAGAACTGGCTCATGAGCACTTTCAGGTTCATGATCTCGCTACAGAACAATAGTCTGTCAGAGAAAGGAGAGCAGGAGGAAACTTGCACAACTGATTTCAACACTAGAGAGAAAAATGGCGACATAGTCAGATGGATACTGACAGAGCTGTGGAGGAGAGTAAAGAGGGAGAGCAGCAGGGTTGTAGTACTTTTTTTTTTTTCAGCCAAGCAACTTCTCGCCAGTGCAGTTTACAATCTAATACTGACATATACTCATATATTCTCACAGCTCCAGTGTTTCATCATGCTTCTGAGCACTCTTCTTTTTCTTTTTGTTGGATGTGTGATTTGATAAATAAGTGAAGTTGAATCAAACACCCAGCTTTATTTGCTTCTTTAGTTTTTCTTTTTCTATATTTTCTTTTCACCCTGTACGTCTCAACTTTTTCTTTATCTCCTCTTTTCCTCAGGCGTCTTTTTTCATGCGCACAGAAGTCAATACTTGACAGTTAATGTAATTTTATAGAAAAGAACAGTAGGGCCTGTATGTTTATGATAAATCCACGATGAGTGCTATAAATGGGTTTTCATGACTGAACCAAACCGCCATTGGAACTTCATCACAGAATAAAGATATCACCTTCGTTATACAATGGGTTTAAGAAGGGCTGCAACTAACAATTGTTTTCAGTATCAATTATTTGCAGTTTGTTTTATATATAATTATAAAAAATCAATGAATCAATGAATCATCTGTAATGTGTTAAAAATTCAGAAAGAAAATGGCATTCAGTTTCTTAAGAGTTCATTCTGATGTCGTCAGTTTGCTTGTTTTTTCCAACCAACATTTCAAAAACTAAAGATTTTTAATTTACTGCCACATAACACAAAGAAAAAGCAGCAAATCCTCACATTTGAGAAGCTACATTTTTCTGTTGTGCAGAATTCATTCCAAACCAGGCAGCATGTTTTTTTTTGTTTTTTTCACTCAGTCCCAGTTATTTTTCAAATTTCCCAGCCATTTGAAGATGGAAAATCGGAAAATAAAAATATTGAAATTTCTCCGCACATAATAAAATCAGTCTGCAAAACTTTGCAATTCAGAGATACTTGACAAGGACGACGTGTGATGTACAGTATTAATGTGGGTCACATCTCACAGGGCAGCAGCTCAGGAAGATTGCTGACTCGGCCTAATTCAAGCTTTAGCATTGTGGTTCTCACAGTAAGGAGGCGATGGTTGGAAGTTCATGGTCCAACTTTTGGACATTTTGAAAACATAAATATTCATGAAAGAAACCGTGTGTCGAGCAACTACTAACCTATTTTGGAATAATGTCAGTGTCTTGTGGAGGCATGCTAAATAATGACAGTTGCTTGGAGACAATCCTGGCCTTTTTGTGTAGCTGATCTGTAACTATCCTGTCCCCTTTCCACAAACATCTGGGGATTAAATGTGTTAAATGTGTGTTGTATTCATGTGTCGGGATGTTGCTCGTTCAAACAACCGTCTGAGATCAGCAGAACCAGTGTGCGTTTTGTAGCCCACAAAGACTTTACTGGAAAAGATTCCCCACTTGGACCACCTGTAGCTGTGGACCAATTAAAATCACCACCCACCATCGCTTGACCTAAAAGGTTTGACACACACATGCACGCAGGCACACACACACACACACACACTCTCTCACACACACACACACACACACACACACACACACACACACACACACACACACACACAATGATAACAGCTGGAGAGAGTGGAAGCAATCAATAAATAATTGATGATAATTGGCTGTACCCATACATAATTGACACCCTCAATTATCACTAAGAAGCCCCGCCTGAGTTTCATGTGTGTGTATGTGTGTGTGTGTGTGTGTTTCTGTGTACCCAGCGGGTGGACTTGTCTTGTATATGTCAAAGAGAACATGCGTGTCTTTCCCATCTGCGCTGTCTGTTGCTGTTCCTCTTTCGCATTTCACGAAATATTGCGCAGGTGATGTTTTCTCTCTGTTTAGTCGATTATCCGCACGCTGTATCCCAAAAATGTTATGTCCACTTGTTAGATGTGCTGGCAGGAAACTCCTCTCTCCAGATAAGCAAAGGAAGAACGTGCTCCAGACTCAATATACTCCCTTATCAAAAATGTTGTTTGGATATCGCAGCATACTTTCACTGTTGAAACAAGGCGCTACGATTCTAGTTTGAGACTGCGCAACTTGTGTGTTCACTTATCTTCCCTGCAGGCTTAGATGGGTCAGTGGATAAGTTGTTAGACATTACTTAACTATGCCAGGTACAACAGAGAATGCCAGAGATGCTCAACTGTTTTACTTTTTACTTCCTCTGTGAAATTTTAGCATTTCATTGATGCTGAAATAATGAGTCAGTTGGCCTGTTTTGATGATCAATTAATTGTTTAATCATCAAACATTGTCTGGTTCCAGACTCATAAATGTGAGGCTCTTCTGTTTTTCTCAGTTTTGTGTTGTCGTTGGTTTTTTGGATTGTTGGGTGTAAGTAAACATGCAAATTAAAGACTGTGGGCCCTAGGAAATTTGATTTTTTTAGTCTTGTCACGCATTTTATAGACTTCATTTTTAAATGGTAAATAAAAAAATAAAAAATAAGCAGATGATTCATCTATAAGAAAAATAATTGTTAGTTTAGCATAATTATAGTCTAGAGCTGTAGGGCATTATTTTTTAGACTGTCTGTTTGGGAACCTACCAGCAGATTTGCAGTGAACCTTGCCAGTAAAAGAAATTTAACATTTTATGTTTTTAAAAAAAATCAAAAAAAAAGTCACACCTGCAATTTTATAATGATTGACAGAACTTTATTTTTGTTAAAAGCATTAGCGATACATTAAGTAATTGTCCTCCTTCACAAATAACATTCTGCTTTCCCCTTTTCTTCCTCCACCACACATTCCTGCAGATCACCACTCTGATCAACCATAAAGACAAGCCAAAGAAGTCCGAGCGCACCCTGGCAGCCATACACAGGGTGGGCCAGGCAGTGAGCGTGGCAGTGGGACGTTTCGTTGCCGTCGGGGAAGCCATCGCCACAGAGAACCAGGAGCTGAAGGATGAGATGGGTCAAGCCTGCTTCGAGGCACGCAGAGCAGGTAGGCCGCTTTGGCTGGATCTCATTATGTACTTGACATTTCTCTGAATTGCTGCACTTAAACTTTAACACGTCGTCAAGTGTTTCTCTTTTGGACGAGACAGGGGTGGCTCTTATTTTGTGGTCACAAATTTATGCTGTAAAACTAATGTGAGGGTTCTTCATCAGAAAGGCTTCTTCAGAGTGGCTACTGTGTCTTGCCCTCGTAAGCATGTCCACGGCTTTATGCTGTTCAGAAATTGCCATTGAGGGAGTTGGAGCTGGTCGGCCATTAAGACCTAAGTTATTGTCTCCTCATCATTGCTTATTTGCTTAGACAAACTGTGACATTTTCATAAAGCGTCAGGCATCACCTTCAGGCTTTGCAGTGTTATCAGATTTTAGCAAATTTCGATTAGTCTGGACAGCCCGGCTGTCAAACAGTGTTACACCAGACGACCTTCAGAGTGCTCTAAAGACATTGTTGTTATTAGGTTGGTAGTAAAGGTTGGAAAAAAAAAAATGCTTCTTCACCCAAGGGTGCTGTGAGGAATGAGGGAATGAATGTGTCTGCACTGGATTGGAAAGCACCGCATAATAGATTCTGATAGAAAGGTCTCAGCATCAGGCTGTCGGCAAAGTTGAAGCAGTTGTAGTTTTCCCAATATTCACTGCTTCATAGATTTCTTCTGTGTAAAATAGAGAAGTGTTTCTCAACCTGAGGCCAGGACTTATTTTCTCCAGGGTTTGAATCTTTTGGGTGGCTGTGCCTTTTCATTTCTGCGGTTTCCTACCTGCACTAAAACATCCAAGGTAGGGGAAGTAAATGGCAGTCTGGTCCAGGGTGTAGCCTGCCTCTCCCCTGATGTGGACTGCAAGAATCTGCATGGATGCATACATCAAGTTCACAAACAGAGAGAGACAAAGAGGTACAGAGAGTTTTTTTGGGGTTTGGTGGAATCAGTGACAAACCGTGTGGATCACTCCCATAGGACTGTCAGCTTTTACTGAACCCGAGAGAGAACAGGTGAAATTTTTTTTGACTAGTGTTACTACTACTACTTCTTGTAACATTTTCTGTTTAGATGCTGTCTAAAAATACACACTCACGACACATCACCCCTGTATCGTCCCGTCTGTCTAAACTTTCTCACGACTGTATTTAGATGTTTGCCACCTCTTGCTCGAGGAAACACTTCTTTATAGTTGGCAACTTAGTTGTTATCAGGCAAAACAAGGACCTCATTTAGCCTTCTACAGAGCAGACCGGAAACAATATCACACTGGATAAGAATTTAGACACAACACCGTGATAATAGGTTTATGTTTTGGGGAGTGGGGGGGGGGAGCGGTAGTTTGTGTAGCAAAGCGTTTAATCCTCACACAGTGCTGATTTGTAAAGACGGCTAAAACTCAGACAAAGAGAGTGCTGGTGGGAGGAGGAGAATAGACTGATGAGAAAACGTGCATGTTAATGTGTGTGTGTGTGTGTGTGTGTGTGTGGGTGAGGCCAAGTGAAGTGTGTGTGTGTGTGTGTGTGTGTGTGTGTGTGTGTGTGTGTGTGTGCGTGCAAATGTCTGGTTGTGTGTTACCCACTGTGACTAATTTATTCCAGTTCTCACTTTTCCTCTTAGGGAGGTGTTTTCACAGTTTTCCCTTGCACTTCTACTGACAGACACTGTACAACTGTTCCCTGATTTAAAAGAAAAGAAGAACTTTTTGTCTCGTCTGTGTCCATATTTAAAAAAAAAAAAAAAAAAAAAAAAAACGATGGAGACATCTTCAGGGATAAAAAAGAAAGTCTTTTAAAATTCTTTAAGTCTCCGGGAGAGAGAGAAGGGCTAGTTAGTGAAGGATTGACATTTTCTCTAATACCTAGCCGCAGGGAGAGTTTAATCAGGCAGGCTTCAGCCTTGTGCGCTATAATGAATGAAATAAAGGCAGGCTGAAAGCACTAGTTTAATTAGATGCTACCCATCATCGGAGCGGTGGAGAGATCCAATGAGGCAGGTCAGTGAAGGCAATCTGTGTTGGATCTCTGTCTCTGTCTCTTTCACTCAGTCTCTGAGTGTCATTCTCACATTTGTGTGCTTTCTATCTTCCTTGCTCTTTCTCCTTCAGAAAGATTCACAGTGCCCAAGACGATGGTTAGGATTAAGATAAATTCATAGCCAATTATATTATGTGAGTGTTTACGTACCTGTTAACAGGTGAATTTACAGGTACGGGGGAAACAGATAAGTAAAAAAGGAATAAGACTCCCATCGCTTTACCAATACACAATCAAAGATATTTTTATAGTGAAAAGAAGATACAAAGGTCATGTGAACATGTACACAATAACTACGGGACCAGAGTGATTTAAGGTCATGAGAATCCATAATCCTTACAATTTATATTCTGGGATTGAAGGCGGCTTTTTGGAGAGGGGCGAACTGGCCTCTGCTTTCCACCCCGCTAGTGTCATGGGGGTTGTGCAGCATTCTTTGTGAGCCAGGCCTCGATGTTTTAACTGGTTAGCGGAGCTGGCACTGAAAAGCAGCCTGTCGGATGCAATCAGTTTGTCTGCGCTGCTTCTTTTAAAGGACCAGCCAAACTAAATAGACAGCCAAGCTGCATGACCCGATAGAGACCTATCTTCCCCTTCCCCCTCCTTTCTGAGCTCCTCTTCTGAGATTTCTCTCCTCCTCCCTCTCGCTCTTAACTCTGGACATTTTTCTCTTGATAGGGTCTATTCTGGTGATGGATTTCCAGCCTAAAAAAAGACCTTGCATTCTTCCCATATTGGGGCTAATATGAGCAGGTTAGAAAGAGAGAAAAAGGGAAACTTTGACTCTGTAAGAATATTTTTGCATTTGCATATTCCGTGTATTTACGAGTTTGCTCTGGCATGTTCGCCAAGTTTGTTTGAGGATCTAAGTTGTCTCCCCCAGGAATGGCTCACACCACCCATCAAGCATGCCACACAAGTGTTTGGGTTAGGGTTAGGTTGGCATAACCGTCATACCACTGTGCCTAATATAGGCCCATTGAGCTTCTTTCTGTGCAGGACAATATGTTCTCCCAGAGGTGAAGATTGGCAGAGTGGAAGAACATTATGTCATAGTTTATCTCAAAATCTGAACTAACTTAGAGGGCATTTACAAAATTCAGCTTGACCCCCCCCCCCCCCCCCCACATCATTCCATTTTCTGCCTCTTATCTGGGTCCACATCTCGATGGCAGCAGGCAAAGCGAAGTAGCCTAGAGGTCCTTCTGCCCAGCCGTGTCCTGCAGCTTTTTCTGGGGGATCCCAAGGCACTCCCAGGCCAGATGGAATATGTAAACCCTCCAGCATGTTCTGGGTCTGCATCCCCAACTGGGAGAAGACTCTTTCTGAGTTGTCTGACAGTTAGCCAGAAAATCTCCAAGCCTAACAAAAAGTCATTTTCCCCAGCCGCTTCAAATGAACTCTTTTTTTTTTTTTTGCACAGAAACTGCACTCCCTCTCACCCATGAGTTTATTCAGGAAATAACGAGCCACTTCTGCCGACTGATCTCATCTGGCTGATTCGCATTGTTCTTTTCTTTACATAGTACGACTTCACAAAAGCCATTGCTTTCTCTCCCCTCTTTCAGGTGATGCCATAGCCCAGCTGACAGATGTGGGATCAGCCTTGCCGTCCCAGACAGACGGACGTGTCACGGTGTTCAGCGATAGGACAGGGATGGTGAAGGCTGCACGCTTGCTCCTCTCTTCAGTCACTAAAGTCCTGGTCCTAGCTGACCGCATCGTCATCAAACAGATAATCACGTCACGGAACAAGGTGAGACATTCAAATATAAGATGGCATATGCATAAACTGTCTTGCATAGTCTCTCTTGCACACACACACACATAGTGGTCCACACACAAATACACACACACACACACACACACACACCTTAGCAAACTCCATACTGAGTCCTTTATTTCCTAACAGATAAGCACTGGCTCTCTGAAGGAGTACTCTGGAGGTAATTGAAGGAAAGCAGCACATTTAGCGACCGTATAAAAACACAGAGCCAGAGTTAGTCTCTCTCCATCGTACCTGGCTATGCTCTTAGCCAGACAGTGTGATATGGATGTAGCTGTAGACTGAGCCAAGAATGGAAACAGGGGGCTTAATCATGACTGGTTAGCCTCGTTTGGACAGGCAGTCGACAGCCCCCTGTTCCCCATTACTGGCAAACACAATTACATCTCTTCCTCCTCTTTTGTCTGGCGTGGATAAAAGCTGCTGCGTTAGCGCTGCCAACTAGCCTACCCCCAGCAGCTAAATTAGCAGCTACATGGACTGCTATTAACTAAAATGCAGGTTAGGAACTACTTAATTTGCTGGTTTTATTTTAAGGATATCACTGATATAACTACATCAGATTGAGCCATTAATACCACATGGGGAGTCCTGAAATTAAAACAGAAATAGAATCAATGTAAAAACATTGAAATAGATGACACATCATGAGTCCAGTAAACGTTATTCTTGGTTCTGATGTAAGGTAAGGATTTGCTTTTGGGATATAAACACGGTTCATGAAGTTCTCGGGTGTTTTCACACTTCCTTCAGATATTCCACACACATCAGAAGTAGGTCATTACGGTGGAAGGAGTAGAAGAACACGAACCATATGTTGCCGTTCACCGTACCACTCTGATCTTGTCACTCCTCTCAGGTCCTGGTTACCCTCGACCATCTGGAAAGAGTCAGCACCTTCCAGGAATTTGTACAGATTTTCAGCCAGTTTGGCAATGAGATGGTGGAGTTTGCCCACCTCACAGGAGACAGACAGAACGTGAGTAGCATGTGAAGAAACCATATCTCTGCTTTTCTGTTTCAAGAGTGTCAGTGCCATCAGCCCGCTTTGAATATCTCTCAGTAAGTGAAATGTGTATGTGGTCTATCTTGGCAAAAAGCTGCATATGGAATATGGTGTGGCTTATGAACATGCAGTAATTTGTCTCTCTTTGTTTCTGCAACACTGAACACGGTTTGTTTATTCATGTAAATGTAATCTCCTAACAAGCAGTGATTTTATAAATATGGTGTTCTGAATGTACAAACAGGTGGTGGAATTAGACTGCGAAACCTGCAGAACTTGCACTATGAATGTGCAGACAAACTCAGAACAAATCAATAATTCAAGCGTCAAATATTTACGCTTCCCAAAACATCAAACAATGAGGTAACAAGCTTTCCTCGAAGTCCTCTTGTTTCTGCAAAGTTTCCTCATTTCCCTCTGTATCTATTCTTTTTTTAATTTTTTATTTTTTCTCAGTCCGTAGAAGAAATGCCCAGGTCTGTTATGACTCATAGTCCACAAAGACATGTTTACATCACGATTCAGTGTTGATATGAACTGACCTATGCTTTCAGCCATCCATTCTTTCTGCAATGTATTTGTAGCAAATTTGCAACAAAACTTCTGCTCACACCTTCAGAAAAACAGTCCAACTTAGGGGTTCTAACTTTCTACTGTCAAAGGCTGCTAATCCTACTTTGATGCATACATTCAGCCTCTGCAGCTAAAGCGCTTTGCCTGCAGAAGCTGATGTAAAGTGCAACGGCTGCGATATCTAGACAGGGAGGGAGGATCGACCATCCCTCTTTCTGAATTTCATCTGGGTTCGTGTTTTGACACACACATCACGTCTCTCTCCAACGCTCCTCATTGCAGCTAATGCTCTCTCGCTCCTCATTTGCCACCCTGTTTTCTTTATCTTTTTTTATTTTTTTATTTATTTTTATTGTATTCACTCCCACTCATGCGCTCCCATGCACGCACAAGCACAAGCACACAGTCCTTTAGAAAATCTACCATCTCCATCTATTGAAGCCAGGCGAGCACAGAGGCAAAAATAATGACGGATAATCACGTCGTCTTTGTAATCTATGGCGAAGTGCCGGGAGAGGAGTTGATTCAGCTGCCTTATCCAAATCCCGTATCTACCTAATTCGAGCTGTCTATTTCTGTTTGGAGTACAGGGAGAGCAATGCAGCAGGTCATACACACTGTATCTTCTTTCCTATTCTGGTAGCGTCTCTTTTTATTAGATGACAATTAACGCAGGAAGTTTCGTGTGTGTGTGTGCGTGTGTGCGTGCATACACTTGGAGAGGAATCTATCACATTTGTGTGTCCCTTCATACCAGCATGAAAGAGATTTGCTGAATAATTTTGATGCTTCATGTCCTTCGGACACCCTGAGAGTTCTAAGAAGTTGTAACTGGAGTAAAGCCACCCATTACCATCTGGTGTGTGTGTGTGTGTGTGTGTGTGTGTGTGTGTGTGTGTGTGTGTGTGTGTGTGTGTGTGTGCGTGTGCATGCACTGTAGGACTTGAAGGATGAGAAGAAGAAAGCGCGGATGGCAGCAGCCAGAGCGGTGCTGGAGAAATGCACCATGATGCTCCTCACAGCCTCCAAGGTAAGCTGCTGGTGGACCTCTGGGCATGGTTTATCTCAGGCTTAAAGATTTAAGGCCTTCTCAAGTTTATTTAATTTCAAGGTTTCTCACACACTGTGATCAATGTTGATATTCAAGTCACACAATCATAAAAAAAACCCAAAGGGGAGTGAATAATTGTGGTTTAAAAACATTAAAGATGATAGATGTTGAAAAGAATATAGGCAGCCATGAGCTTTGACATTTCACATTGAATTCCTTCCAAAGACTTGCCTTAGGCACCCAGATTGCGAGTCGGCACGAATCAACAAAGACGCCGTTTTCCACCGAATGCGCTGTGCCCTGGAGCAGGTCATCGAGATAGTCACTGAGGCACGGAGCTGCGGGGAGAACAAGATTCTTCCTGCCAGCATCTACAACGGCATCAAGGACTTCAAGGTAAGATCAGAGATGAGACTGGAGAAGTCGATGTAGTATGTAACGCTAAGGCCTGAGATTAGTGACGCTCGTCTGACACTTGTTGGAGTGTAAAGTTAAGTAATGGTCCTCTTTTGGGCAAAGTGTCCTGCTTTTTTGATTCAGCTGTTTTAAAAACCGCTGTGGCACAGCTTTATCAGAAAATGACAGCAACATAATCTGTTTTTATTAATGAGGCTGTAGAGAGGCTCTAGTCCTGCATGACTGTCGATTTTGGTGTCAGCTGTAACATTTTTGAATTCACAATTTTATGTAACAGCTTCAGATGTGACTCGGACAATCAACACTAGAGAACCAGACGTATCTATTTTATAATTCGGTTAATACGGTTGTGTGAATCACCATTAAACCTACATCGCTCTGACTAATCTTCTCTCTCCTCCTTGTGCACTGGAAAATGAAAGAAATGAATGTGTGGAGGGAAAAAAAAAACACTTTTGAAGGCGTCCTTTCCATTGAAAAGGAAAGTAGAAGAAAGTATTTTAATGAAAGGACCTGGAGATACTTATTGCTTCTAATAAAAGGCACTTAAAAGCTTACGTAAACCTCATCTTATCACACATAAGCAGAAACCATTACTGTTAATTACAGACAAGAAAAGGATAAAACAGACAAAATGCATCAGCTTTTATGGTTGTGTACTTGAGATGCTGTTTTGCAGAATTTATTGTGCCCCTTTTGAAGGCCGGAGGTGAGTCGAAGGCTGAAACCATACCCCGCACTACTTGTCATTTAAGAATGAGATCAAGTGCTTTAATAAACGTAAGATGGTAAATTATGTTTTTCAGCACATTGGTTAGTAAAGCTCTTGTGTGTGTTGCTGCCTCAGTCTTTTCCAATGTCTCCTCTGGCCCATCCTTCAAATGCTCCTTCCACTCACCACAACCCTCCTCCTCCTCCTCCTCTTAACCCTCCCTCCCTCCCCGCTCATGCAGTCCGGCGTGGAGTGCCTGCGGGAGAACCTGTACTCCATGTCACCCGAGAGCGTGGACAGCCAGCTGGAGGCGCTGGTGGAGCGGACAGAGGACTTTACTGACTCGGCCTACACCAGCCACGAGCAGCGGCAGGCCATCCTAAGTTTGTGCCAGCTGGTGCGCCAGGACACCCAGCAGCTGATGCACGCCTGGATTGAGGCGGTATGTTGGCACAAGCTTGCACAGATGCACTCTCTCATACACACACACACACACACACACACACACACACACACACACACACACACACACACACACACACACACACCTACAGGAATATTCATAAAAACATATGCTACCATATGGAGAGTAATTATAAGTACCTCATCTGTAAGACACTTGTAAAAGGAAGGTCTGATAATAAGATACAGAAAAGAGATAGCAAAGGACACACACACACACACACACACACACACACACACACACACACACACACACACAGCATACTACACAGACAGACAGACAGACCCATGCACATTAATACACCCTCCCTGGCTCACTCAGTCATTCACTTTGGCTACTCACTTTCTTTTCACACATCCCTCCTGGAACAACAGAGCATAATAACCCACCTGAATAACAGTTTTTACTCAGTCTCCTTTGGCTCAAAGAGAAACATCACGTAGTGTTGTATCTTGTTGCCATTCAGCAGGATCTCCTTGGCCTTCGGAATTGATGGACTTATGAAACACAAGTCATTATGTTGCAGATCCTCATTACAAACTTTTTCTTCTCAGACTACACAGATAGACTGCAGCCACATACAGTAGTGCCTCATCTAGCCCTTGCAATTGAAGGTCTTTGGGAGAATTGAAAAGACCAGAACACTGCAGTGTTTTGAAATTGCAGAGAAAGCCTCTGAATGTCCAAATAATCATGGGTGTTCTGCCATTTCAATTTGTGCTCTTGATTCTCATTGTGGCTGGTTTAGCAGAGTATATATTTGTCTTGGCTGCATTTTTGTTCAAACTAGTCTGAAATTTGGAAAATGGTTGCACAATATTTAAATCACATAATTTGTTAAAATCATTTTATTTTGATTACATAAAATTGCGTGTTGAAATGCCTGACTCTCTTTTCGGAACATAACGGGTCACAAATGTAATTGGAAAGTCAAAAACCATGCTGTTACGACTCTGACATACCTTTTCCATTCCAGTCTTTTGTGTGTGTGTGTGTGTGTGTGTGTGTGTGTGTGTGTGTGTGTGTGACTGGAAAACCATATTGTGTCTCATGCTCTGTTCTCTCCGTCTTGTCTCTGTCTCACTGGAGCAGCAGTCCGTCCACGCCAAAGAGGCCACAGAGGACATGGAGGTGGCCATCCTGAAGACATGCCAGAGCGTCAGTGACCTCAGACGTGAGGTGAGCAGCGGTCTGTCTCTGGTCTGCCCGTCTGGCCTCCGAGTCAGAGTAGCTGTACTCAGTTACAGAAACAGACAGATCTGACTTGGGTGTCTCTTACCTGCTGTTCTGCTCCTGTAGCTGGCTCCCCGCTCCCCCCCCCCCCCCCCCCCCCCCCCTCCCCCATCACTTTTCAGCTCACCTGCTGCTGCTGTCTCTCTGTCAACTCAACTATGTTACCGTGTCAGCTCTGCTCTTCTTCTGTCTTCTCTGCCTCCTTGAAAACCACCCTCATTCATGCCTCTCACTCATCTTTCTTTCTCTTGTACTTTGTCCAGCCTCTAGAACTCCTTCCTATTCTTATTCTACAATTTCATTTTTGATTCCTCCTCCAGCTCCATAAGGTGGCAGTTGGTCGTGCCTCAGACCTGCTGAAAGTTCACGGAGAGCAGTTGCCTCTGCGGGCTCTCAAAGCTGCAGGCGCCGAGGGAAACCTGGAGGCAGTGGCGGAGTATTCGCGCACGCTCACCGAGCAGAAGGAGCAGCTGGTGGAGGTAGGCGGGGACAGGGGCGAAGGCAGCAGGTAGGCTGAGAGAGGGTTGACGGTGGTGTCACCAAGTAGAGGTGTTCAACTAGTAAAGAAAAAAAAAAACAAAACAATAGATATCTGTAGTGACGGATAGTTGTTTTTTTTAATCATATTTCTCCATACATACGTCAGTCAGGTGGCTTTGGGTGAAAAAGTTTGTCATGAGTTCCAAAGTTGTTGAAAACACATTGAAATTCCTGTGCTCCCAGCATTGTAGCATAAGCAGTTGTTTATGCAGGCAAACACACAGTACTGGAGGTGAATGAAAATGCAGAGTACACTTCAACCTCAGCCAAATAAAGCCAACATGTGGTTTTGTTATGCAAATATTGTGCAGAAAAATACCACGCTCTGTCATGTCTCTACTAGTGGCCCCTAACAAACAAAATGGACAGTGTAGTTTAAAAAAGAGACACTGTGTGAGGGTAGAGCTGCTCTTTCGGAAAATGTTAAGATTTTATTAAGATTATTAAACCTTTTCCCAAAGATGCAGCCTAAATATTCACTATTATCCACTCACTCTAAAAAAAAAAAAAAAAACACCATTCACCAAGCACCTCCAGTCAGCCTATTTGTTCCTCCTGTGTTTCATTCCAGACCTGTCGGCTGTTGTGCCATGTGTCGGGGACAGAGCCGCTGGAGATTACCTGTATACACGCTGAGGAGACCTTCCATGTCATTGGTCCACAGGTAACATTAATCCTCCAAACATTTTCTGTGTGGATTGTTGTTTTTAGGTCAGTCTTAATATCATGGCCCATTGACTTGATGTGTAAATGGCAGCGACCAGGGGAAAGAGGAGAAGTCGGGAAAAGGTGTACAGGTTAACTTTAATGAAACCTGAGACCCATTTTGTTCAATTCATCACTTTTATTGTATGTCAGTGAAGTCAAACTGGTCTCATGGTGGTCCGGGAGTGAAATCAAACCTGAGTAATGTTGTACATGTACACAGTTGGGAGGGGAAAAACGACAAATTACCTCACGTCTCCTCTGTCTACCTCCCACACCTGCCGTCCTTTTAAGATAGCTGAGAACATGCTGTCCACCTCGTCCCCCTATCTCAGATCTAATTATGTTTGCTCTTGGAAACCATCCATGCCAGTAATTATCCAGCAATGTAGAATGTTCCTGTCCTGCGGCGCTAATGTCAGGTCCCGCATGACTCTGCAGTAATGACTCCGCTCCTAAGTTCAAAGGTCAACCAATCAATAACGCTGCAGTACAGGGTGGCGGTGGTGATATCTCTGTCTGCCCAAAGTAATAGAGGGTGGCTTAGAGGGTAATTGGCTATTAAATACTACACTTTAGGGGATGGGCATATGATGTGTGTGTGTGTGTGTGTGTGTGCGTGCACATGGGTTTTTGTGTGTGAGAGATCAGTTTTTTTAATACTTGTCAAAATTCAGTTGTCTAAAATCTTATTTACAGTCTAGAGATCAGACTTGATTGAAGATATAAGTTATGTAACAACTTATAACAGCTGCACTTCAGTCCCACATATACACATCATGTCAGTTTTTCTGTCAGTTAATGGAATTGAAAATATGCACCTACTGCTGTACTTACTTAACTGATGTGAACAAGCTTAAACATTAGTTGCATATTATGGGAAATTCTGTATTTTTAGTTGGAATAATTCCACAATATTATTTTTCGACTTTTGGAGAGTTAAGTTTTGTCATTATTACTCCAACAGGTAGTATTTTATTGTAATTTTTTTGTTTGTTTTTGTAACATTTAAGCTGCTGATTTATGTCCCCTGCATCGGGGTCATTTTAGTTCCTACCTGCATTTGTTTTGCTGGGGACAGTTGTGAGTTTAACGGTAATGGGTGTAATGAGTGCTACAGTGGAGTGGAAGCTCTGATGTGAGCCCCATGAGACTGAAGTTGGGTATTTTACCGTCTTGCTGTGCTTGTGCTGATTAAAGAAGATTATTCTCAGAACTGTAGCTCACTTAATTACCCACAGACAAGGGAGACGGGAGCCTGCTATTCATCAAGAAAACCGGGTTACAAAGCTTTTAACATTGTTAACAGACATATTAATGACTTAGGTTAAGTTATTGTCTAGTGTTAAAAGACCTGTTTATCAGTTTGAGAAGAATACCAGCTTCCACTAATTTTTTAAAATGTTTTAGATAGTTTAAGTTTACATCACTAGTTGCATTTGATTGAACTGAAAATCACCACAGTCAGTGTCCTAGTTTCCCGGTTCTGGGCAAGAATTACACCACATTTTGTTCCTCTGTCTTTTGCCTGCATAATGTTTTACCTCTGCTAACAGACAGACATCATTTAATGATTCCTTTTCCCCTGTCGCAATTCTTCCCACTCTTGCTCAGATCATCTCGGCAGCACAGACGCTGGCCCTCCACCCGTCCAGTAAGATCGCTAAGGAGAACCTGGAGGTGTTCTGCGAGGCCTGGGAGTCGCAGCTCTGTGACATGGCCCTGCTGCTGCGAGAGATCAATGACGTCTTTGAAGGCAGGCGAGGTGTGTTTTGTTTCAGTTAATGCAATTTGGATGCATTTGGTTGGGTTGCTGTGGTAAGACAGACAGCACACATGCGAGAAACATAGTCTTTCGGAAGGAGCGAGAAGCAGAAGCGAGTACAGGTAAAATGTGCATATGATATCTTACCCTGAAGGCATCACATTCTCTCCCTGGTGAATCATTTTGCACCTAAAAACTTTAACTAAAGAGTTGAGGCAAGGCAAGCACCACGAACATAGAATTAATCATCACAGACTGTGGGAAGTATTTTGTGAAAGAAACATCAATGCCACTAAACACTCTTGCATTCACTCCTCTGAATTTCTGCTCTTTTCACTATTGTGCCAGTTGCCTGAAGTCTCAAAGTCATGAACAGTCCCTCTTACAAACTCAGCTGTTTGACATAAAATCAGACAGAAAGTACACGTAACTATTCAAGCCTAAGAGACTCTGTGTACATTTGTTTCTACTGTACATTTGTCCATGTATGCACAGATGTTTGCATGAGGGAGTGTTGCATTTAAGTGCTGACAACCATGTGCTTTCACGCACTGTCTGAGAAGTCAGGGGGAAGCTGTTTCTGCCCTCACGAATGTGACTCTCAGATAAAGTGCAGCTCGGTGGGTGGGAGGATCACATCCATCACACTGTTGTATTACCGTGAAGCCAGAATGATCCGTTAAAATGTTATATGGACACTGTGGAGAGAATTGCTTTTATTATTTTAATCTTTCCCCATAAACGTGACAGTTGAGAGTTTATCGTCTCTGTAGTCGATTGAAATGAACCGTGCTGTACACGTTTATGATGAAAGATAAAAATGTGTCAAAGGCAGACAGTGATGAAAGCAAAACAATTTATTTACCATAATTACTGAATATCTATAATTTCCCAGCCTAATTGTCTGAAAAACTCCGAATGTCTAAACACAATATTCAAATATATAACAGCAGGGTAGGGGTGGGCGATATGGCAAAAATATCATATCACGATTTTTTAAAAATAAAATCACGATTTCGATTTTATCACGATCTTAAATTGGAAAAAGAAAAACAGACAATTTAGACCAAAGAACCTTTCTTAACAGATTTTATTTCAAATAGTCGCAGTTTTGCCTACATGTGCAAACAACGTAAAGTTTAAGGTAAACAACAACAACAAGATTCTGGTTCGTCGTGTTACCACCCGACGTGCGAACGGTTTCTGTGCAAACTTTGCAAATTACATTTGCTTGCGCTTGATCAGTTGCGGAAAATCCAAACCAATTCCATATAATGGAGGTGGAAGTTTTCTTAGCGACCAACTCCGTTTGGCTTTCAGCCATCGCTCTCCATGTGCTACCGCTACATACACAAACAAGGAGGCGGGTAGGAAAGCGCGTCACTGCCCGTAATTCGCTATGATTGGTCGGTCAGGTTGACGACGTCAATACGTCTGGTGCGTCTGTGCATCAGCATAGAACTGCAATTTATAGAATGTGCCCTAGACGATCCCACGATCTCTGCAGTTTGAAAGATCGTCTTCACGTTGTAATCCTTCACGATCTAATATCGTCATATCGCCCACCCCTACAGCAGGGTATAATTTTCCCTCTGAATCATTGAGCTATCATTAAAACATAAGATGTTATTATTTTATGTTTTTTTTATGCTTTTTTTTTCAAACTAGAAATCTTATGTTCAGATAATCACAACAACTCTTTATTCCTAGGAGACAAAAGATCTTATTTGTCACTTCCCAGACCCGGGGTGAGTATTACACCACCCATCCTCATAAATATTGCAATGATACAATGGTGTGTAATCCCCTTATTAGTGCCATTCTCTTTTCCCACAGAAACACTCGGCTAATTTGAAGACCGCCAAGGCTGTCAAGTTGGATGCAGAGGTAGCATACACCATAAACTCCTCTGGCTTTCAGCACCATACATCACGTCACATCTTGCACCCTGTTCTGACAGCAGTATATTCATCTCCGGGAAACTTTGTGTCACTTGCTTCAAGAATTGATGGTGTTTGTATTCTAATAGGCTGCAATTTTGCTGGCCAGCAGTTTTACACAGGCTGTACCACCACAGGAAGCAGGATTATGCTGATTAGAGAAGTTCTGAGTGTGTTAACAAATGAAAATAGCCCTGCTTGCTAATATACATTTGTAAAAGGACATCCATTATACTTCAGTCTTTCCCATATAGAATCACTTGTGTATGTGTGTTTCTTTCTCTCTGTGTGTGTGTGTGTGTGTGCGCGCGCGTGCGTACTCAGGAGCAGACAAGCATGGCCAAGCTGGGCCTGGAGCTCCGTCTGCTATCATCAGATGTGGACACAGAGGTGGAGAAGTGGGAGGAGCAAGAACATGATATTGTTCGACAGAGCCAGAGTCTGGCCAGTATGACCTACAACATGTACCTGTTCACCAGGTAGCCTATTGTTACCACACAATACACAAACACACACATGCTCAGATTTTGTATCTGCAGCTTTCTGAGCTGTTACATTCATTTCAGAGCTTAACATTGTAAAGCCTCTTAAGTATCCACATGAATCTCTTTAGAGGCTCAGTGTTAATGAGATTCTCGAGCCCCCAGCTATCAATACATACCAGGCAGGGTTTGAGCCACTGACAGACTTGACATGACTATGACTCATTCTGACAATGAAATTGCTGCGATTCAGCAAAGTAACAGTTTTTGTTGATTGCTCTGGAGGTATTTTGCCCTGATTCATTTTTCTCATCCATATTTCCCCTCCTCATTTTCTCTGTTTCTCATATTGATTCCCTAGAGGGGAGGGGCTGCTGAAAACAACACTAGATCTTTTTCATCAAGCTGAGGTATGTACATCCATATCCACTAATCTCTCCCTCTCTCCACCTCCTGTTCTATTTTTCCTCCTGTTTTTATCAAAGTTGTAAATGCACGCGTCCGTTGTTTCATTAAACCAAAGACATACAGAGGCTCGCAAATCAATAGGTTAGCAAATTCCAGTTTCCCTTCATTCACTACCTTCCTCTCAGATCTGATAGGGAAGGACAAGGATTTATCAATATGATGGAAATGTGGCGCAGTATATTCCTGGCCTCCTCAGACACATGGAGTGATAACAAACAGGGTTGCTCAAAGGGGTGTATCGTATTGAATTGGGATCACTGCCAATAATGTGCAGTGCTTTGTAGAATCAGGGCCCAAAATGTCAGCCAGGATTTATTCCATTCGTGGTGAGAAGGGGAGATAAGAGAGGAAGAGGAACGAGAGGGGAAAGAGACGGGAAGGCGTAATGATAAGAGGCAGAGAAAAAGTAAAATCTCATGATATTTACTGACTGTTCTTTTTTGCTCTTGAATGGCTTCCTGGTGGAAGTTAAAAGTAGTTCTTCTTGTATTTGTGGAAGTTTTTTGATTTTTTTTGTCTTTTTTTTTTTGTGATTCCCTCTTAAGGTTCTATCTGAAGAGGGGCTCCAGCTGTGCTCATCTCTACGCACCTTTTCCACTCAGGTATAGATTAATGCAATAAATCTCTCTCTCTCAAACACACTCTCTGGGCGCACAAACAAACACACACACATTGTTGCACATAAAGCAACTTTAGCAAAAAGGAAGCTAATGCATATTATAAAAGAGAATTTTTTTGTGTAAGTAGCAAAAAAAATAAGTGCAGGGGAATATTAAAAACAAAAAAATGAAGAAAGAGAGAAATGTACTTATTTTTATACATACCCCTGCTTCGCTGCTGGAATCTGTTTGACTACAGTGTTCTTATAGGAAGATCTGCAGAACTCAGCATAGAAGTGAATAATGGTTAAAATGAAAAAAGAAAAGAAAACAGTTTATTTTCATTCAAACAGGTTGAGCTGCAAACCCATCTTTATGCAGACACACACACACAGACACCTGTGCCCCCACTCACGTTACGCCTCTCACACACATACACACCCATATCAACCACTCTGGCATGCCATGGTGCCAGGTCCGCCTTTATAAATCACACAGCGAGAGCAGGAAATTAAGGCTGTCACACACTTTCACCATCCTCTTTTCCTCCGACTTGAGATCCAGCAAACAAACGTACCCTCAGTGCCTTCCTTCCTCTTGCCCTCCACCAACTTCTTCTTCGGGTCCTCCAAGTTTAATTACACAGCTCTTTTTGACAGCCATTAACGACTGCCATTTGTCACTGCTGTGTCTGTTGGTGTGTATGCTTGTGCACTTGTGCAGGGGGGATTGAGGGGTGGGGGAGTTGACTGCGACCGCCCAGGACTAATTCATAATCAGGAGGCCTGGCTCTTCAACTTGCCTCACGCTTTCTGATTAATTACATCAAACAAACTGGCCCTAATGGAGTCCCATAGTTCTTTGGCACTCGACACACTTGTAACACACCTTTGTTGCGCTCATTGAAAATTATGAAGCTATTTATGCAAATGAGCTTAATAATTTTTAATTGAGGTTTAAGAGGTTTTATGTACTCTTGTCAGTCATGAATAGTACTACCCTGAATAAAAGAGCTTGTGTTTTTAGGTCATTTGTGGCCTTGGTTTGTGCACACATGTAACTGTAAAGGTTTGATGGCCCCCGTGACTAGGGATTAACTCGGATGGATAATAGACTGGATCATGACCTGGCTGTCGCTGATGGATTACATCAAGCAACACTACATTTTAATTTATTTTTTTGTGTTTAACCAAGAGCATTGTAAATCCAGCCCAGTGAATCTATCAATGTCTGCACATATTAACCCAGTCTCTGCGGATAATACCATCATAAACCATCTCTGATGTCCCGATGTCTCCCTCTCTTTCTCTGTCTCTCTGTTCCAGCTGGTTGATGAGGAAAAGTCTGTGGTGATGACAGAGATGGAGAAATTGGTGGCATTATGCCAACAGCTGCAGACGGGGGCCAAGACTCCTGTACAGGGCAAGACTGCCACCTTCCAGAAGGTACCCACACTACGCCCACACCCTTTTGTGTCTTTGTTTGTGTGTACAGTTGTTATGAAAATGAATCAATGACTTGTTTTTTGCCCCGAGTCTTTTCTGTTTGATACTACACGAGTACTATCACACAGAGTGTACAGAACAGGTTCACTGCAGTTTCTTTTCCAAAAGGGGTAATTAGCTTTGACAGCAACAAAACTACATCCCCAACAACATAGGGGCATGAGTGAAGCACTGAGCACACGATAGAGCATGACTAACTGTGTTATTTCATCACTGGTTACGGCATAATCTTTGAGTGATCTGCGAGTAACGCCATTATTGAACACAGGGCGCTAGATTAATGAGTGTCTATGAGAAATTAATGAGCATCTTGGGCAGGGATGAGCTGCCTTAGGTCACCTTGTAATAAAGGCGAAGGTTGGAATCAAAAGGACGGGATGAAGAATAGCGCTTCCTCTGCTGATTAATGAGCGTCTCTTTGATATGTATTTCCTCCCATCTCTCTGTCTCTCCATCCTGATGTTCACTTTATCATTCATCACCAACAGTAGAGTGTGTGTCAGTGTTAATTTATATGCCAAACGCAGTTTAGATGCTGGTGTGTGCGGTCGGTAGGCTGCTGTATTGTTTGTTTGTACTTGTACATTTGCATCTATTGTGCTGTCCCCTAATGCAGTGATGTACAATTTTATTTCTTTGTCTCTAGGTGGACTCGTCCATTCAGACGACTAGAGGCATCTTGACTGTGGTACTCTCCCTCCTCCCATTCTGTAACAAGCTCAACAAAAAGGTGAACAGGTCTCATGACTGAATGAATGGCACTAATGTGGAAATCTACCAAGATATAAAAAAAAAAGCTCAGAAATGTTAATGCAGCCCAAGAAAGTATGATTAAACCTGCAGTTAGATTTTGTGAGGGCAGTGGAAACAAGGTGTAAACCAAATGTTGACATACCACCTTAAAGCTACAGTATGTCACTTTATTCTGAAATGTTGTAGTTGAAATATGCTCCTTTAATGTGGAGAGGAGCTCTCAAAGACTGTTGTGGCCTTTGTGATCCATTGTAGAGTAAAACAGCACTTTTTACAAAGTTGGCAAAACAGCCTCACCTTTGTCTGTAATTCTGCAAACTACAGGGAAGGAAGAAAATGTTTCCACAGACAGTAAGATGCTTCGATTAGCACAGCCTTGCCGGCTAGTGTCCCGTCCCATTTTTATTTTTTGGCTTAGTTTACTGATAGGTCGATAGAGCAGCAATATGTCAAACTGATAGTGAATTTTAAGGATGCCCTCTGCTGGACTACAAGCGAACTACTTCAAATGGTCTTGATTCGCTAATAGACTGTAGATTTTGAATTCAAACATTAATTTGAACGACCGTACTGAAAACAGCTGCCAGCGTCTTTTTAAAAATGCGGCAATGAGAGCGGTGAGAGTAAACCAAGACATTTAAATTGACGGCTGTAAAACCAAACTGATTAGCTGAAAGATGCTAAAATGCTCCATCCAGTGGAGGGAAGCTGCAGTCGGGTGATAATTCTCTCACTACCAGGAACCCCTTTAACTTGCATGTAGTCTGTGATCCATCAATGTAAAAATGTTTCATTTACAGTAATTATAGTAACTTTAACTACAATTATTTAATAGCAAAAAGTTTGTTAGACCTGGTTACTATTCATTTTCTGTCCATGTACAGTACAAGTCAGAGAGGAGTAGTTTGGGTTCCCCACATGACTGGAGAGAGAGGCAGGATGCTTCCACACCTGTCAAAGATGAGGGAACTCTCAACAGCAAGAACAGCAACGGCTTCGGTGTCAAATCCTTGGAGCAGCACATGGCCGGTCTCAACCTGCTGGAGAGCAAATAATCCAGGAAATAGCCACATCCCCCTTTTTGTTCACTTTTCTCCCTTGGAGCAGCACATAGTCCACCTCACCTTTCTGGAGAACGTGTAATCCAGGAAATACTTTACCCCCCCTCCCCTCCCCTCCCCTCCTCATCGTCATGCACCCACCACAGAGTGGGCCAGAGCTGTGGGGTGAAGATGGTTGCCTTGGGTCGGTCAGAGTTTGTATTTGCTGTCTGGATGATAAATTTAAAGGTTTACATAGGAAAAGGCAGATCCAAGCTCTCTGTGACCAGGGGCAGTTTTACCCCAGGGTAGCTTGTTACCTGAAGCACCAGATCCACCCCAGTCCACAAGATGGAGACAATCAGCCAACACTAAGACTTTGCCATTAGCAGTGAGCCTCCTCACAGAGAGGCCTAGCACAAGCCTGATTCTGGAATCACTTTAATCATTTCTCTGGCTATTGAGTTGATAAACTGATCATAAGTCAGGAAGGAACTCCACTTAATGTTCAGCTCAGCCATACATCTGTCTTCACTACGTGCCTCTGCGTAACAAGCGTGTAGCCTGTGGTGTACTGTAAACGTGTTGCACATGTTAGCCAAATGGAAAAAAAACAAAACAAACAAAAAACAGTGAAATGGCTGAAATCCCACAATGCATGATATCATCACCAAAACCCCTTGTGTTCGAGTCTCCTACAGTTAATGTGCCATAGGCTTGTAATGTTAACACTTGTTGTAATGTTAGCCATAGTGGTGCATTCTGTCCTTGATCACTGACACTGTAGTCAGCAGCTCACGTGCATAATTAAGTATTTTAAGAGTTGATCACGCCATATGATTAATGTCTAACTTTCATAGGATCTCCTATGGAACATTCCTGATGTGCCATGTTAGTAACAAAATGCAAAAAAAGAAATTAATCACAATTTAATACCAAATATGATTGTCCTCATGAAGACGCTGTGATCTTCAGCTTGCTACTCATATGAAATATAAAGCTCTTAGTCCTCCAGTGTTAATTACTGGAGACATTTTTATTTGGGTGTGATTTCTCCAAAAAAAAAATCAGCTGGTTAAGCTTCATTTTATCACTGAGATGCTTTTGGGAAGTTAGGACTTTTATAATGTCCCAAGTATTATCAAACCATATTCTGTGTAAACTGTTACTCTTTTTTTCCCTCACAAAAGAAATGAAAGATTATTCTGAACTGGCACCTGTGTCAAATGGAGCCGTGAAGTGTACTTGTTATGAAGACTATCATTGTGAAGCTGCCTATTAGACCAATATGTATTAAATGGTATAAGGTATGTATAATCTGGTACTTGAATCATATATATAAATATATATACTTTGGTACTAGGTGAGGGTGTAATAATGACTGAAATGAATAACATGCATTAAGCTTTAGAGATGCTTTGTACTGTGTGAGAGCAGCTAAGGATGCTGGGTATTGTAGTGGCTCTACAGATGTGAAGAAATCATAGATCTAGTTTTGGATCAAATATTCTTTTGACAATTGAAAGGTTAAAAAAGTGACACATAAAAAATAAACAATATTTTTCTTAAATCAGTGTTGCTTGTTATTAATGATATTACATATTACTACAAAAATAATTCTAACTTAAGGTTTTTAAGTAGTATTTAATTACATTTTCAAATAATGTCATGCTTTCCTCCATTTCCTTGTTCTTCAAGTTACAAAAAACAAACAATAAATAAAGCACTTTAAAGAAGAGTGCTTCCTGAAACCTTCTTTAACAATAAAAAAACACTGTATAATAGTGTGGAGACAGTGCAATGCTTGCATAAAGTAACTGCCATGTTCCAGGAAAGTATCCACAGTTTTTACCCAACCTGGTGGCATTTGAAGGAAGATGAGCTCTTCCAAAGCAGTTCAGGCATAACAAGGACAGAACGTGGAGCCCTGTCAAGAGGGTTGTGATTCAGCAACATTTCGTTTGGAGATGATGCTCTCAAACTCTTCTCTGCTCAGAAGATTCTCCGTTATGCTCTTGCTCTCCTCAAACTTTGGCAGGATGACAGCGATGTATCCTTCAGTGAATGGCTGTTCAGATTTGACAAAGAAAAACATTTCAAACTTGTTTTCCCCAAGTGCATCACTATTTATTACAATAATAAACAATTATACTGTAAAAATATATATCATTTACCTTTTCCAGCAAAAGTGCAGGTCTTTCTAAAATATTCTCATTGACCTCAAGAAGACGGCCCCGGATGCAGCTAAGAAAGATAATAAATTAGTATGAGTCACCAGGACATACGAGCATGAAGAATGTATGCTGAGAAAACAATACTGTTGTCTCACCTGTAGATTGTGTATTCACTTTCATCTGTGCATGTTATCCTACACAGAGGTGCGAAATCGGTAAGGAACTGACCGCCCTATAATGGGGGGAAAATGGATTGAGAGGCATTTAAATGTGTGAAACGAAGGTACAGAAGAAAAAAAATGCATGCACTTAGACCAAAATCATCTGTAGCTTCATTTACCCGCTTGGACTTCCCAGACACTTTATTGTTCAGACGACTGCAGCCATTACTGATCTGATAATTGATGCTCTTGATTGTCCTTCCGTTCTGAAGGATTGGGTGAGTCTCTGCTAATGTGACGACGCATATTCTGCAATCACAAATTTAAAAGTGAGCCTTTAAAAAGGGAATACCAACAGGAAACAGTATCACCATGCAAGTCTCCTGTAGGGAGTTTGCATTAAATACAGTTAAAACTGTGGCACAAAACTTTGATTAACATTTTAATAGGGAGTGTCAAACTTAATATTCAGAAAATAAAACAAATGAATCCAGACGAACAGCTTTTTCAATCAACTGTCTTGTAATGATACCATCTTTGTTGTTAGGTTGAAGCTGTACTTTGTGTTGTTTTATTAGTCTGGATTAAATATTTATGGAAGGTGCTTCTAATATTAACATAAATCAACACTAATCCAAACACACTCCAAACCCTATTTTGAGGCAAGACACAAAGTAAGATCAACAGAAACTGAACAACTGAAGAGAGGTGGCATTACAACATTATCTCTATTCTACTATTAATATAACGGTTATTTGATTAGCGGGTAATAATCACCACCTGGTGATGATTAGCACACCACAGTTACCTGTTTGAATGCTGCAGGATGCAGTGGTCCTCACACGGTTTCCCCTTCATATCTAAATAACATAATGACATTCATTTTAATATATTCGTGACAATATCCATGAAATTATGCTGGCCAAAACAAACATTTCGCTCTCTCTCACTCCTTTAGCTAGTACGTTCAACTTACGTTAGCTGACGTTAGCCACCTAAGAGTCACGTTTTATTTACCTGCTCTGTACCACCGCGTGTAATACCGGTCGATGACTGAAGGCGCATTTTCTTCCGTTTCTTTCTGTTCTATTCCGTCCATCAAAAGTATTCACAACACGGGCAACAACAAAAACACTTATTTGAAGTAAAGACTCAGCTAGCCCACGACTTTGCTTGACGGACAGTAATATGTGTGAGACTGTAATGGTCCGTCATTCAAACGAATCCGAAAGCTTAGGACGCAAAGGGTTCCGGAGATTTTTCCCTCGCAGACGGAAGAGTCCAAACCTCAAAGACCCCACATTTATTGTATGTCATTTGATTTGTGGTAATTTGATTCATTGCAAATTTGTTTTGTGGCACTAACATGCAAAATGATATGGGGCATGAGGATCCTGCATTATTAAATTACCATGTTTGGTCAACCTGTGTTGTTAAGGGGCCCTGTGGCAATCCTAGATAATTTTGTGTTTCAATGAAAACAGAAAACCAACGGAAACCACAAAGCTAATTGTACCTTTGGGCCACATAGAACATTCATCTGGTAATGCTCACGTTGTTGTATACTCTAGTGTTAATACTTGGAACACCTGTGACAACAGTTTTTCATATTGCCCACTAGATGTCAGAGTACTGCTAACAACTACAGGATATGGTAGGCTATATAGTCAATGTGGTAACTAAAGCTAAAGAACTCCTCAGAGGACATCAGAGTTTAATTAAACGTAACGAAATATCTCCAGCTAAACATTTTCATATTCAGTTAAACTGCATTTGTTCATGTGTAAACCAGTTAAACAATGTGCTATAGTTGTTTTATGTCACCTCACAGTGTCTGCGATCGTCTGTTTAATTTCCATACTTTGAACTATGTGTCCTTTTTGTCACTTGGCTCTAATGATTCTTACAGATGGCAGGTAGACATATAAGTATGTTGAGTCTGCATCCCGGTGGATTATGTAATGAAGAGGTCTGAGAGAGGATGCACGAAAGAAGGAATGTTCCCCTCTTTGGATCTGACAAATAGCCCCTCTCTGACCCAGACCAATCACATACCGAACATATCTGGCGCAATGTGCTACTTGCACACTGTGTGGACAGTGCTGAGGGAAAATTTTTGGGGCATTGGCACGAGGCAGATGAAGTAACGATGACTTCATCTTAGTCACTTAATTGAGAAGAAGAGAGCACAAGAGTGAGAGAGGCTCTACTGAAATTTGGGGGCACAATGACTTTTCCATGTATCTACTCACCACTACCAAGTCTTGGAAAGTTTTGCTTTCGTAATGAGTTTTTCCATTACTCCTCCGTCTGTGGTAGGCCAACGTCTGCAATTAATTCAGAGATGAAACACAACACCATTGTGGAAACAGTGGACACAAAGAGAGTTTGCCATAGATATGCAATCTTGCATCAGACTTCAAATGCACTCATGTCTAATAAACAAGGCCATCTTTAATATGATTTGACAGCTTTACCTATGATTCTTTTCCATAAATTTCCGACAGCAAAGTATATCACTAACAGCTGCTATTAGAGGAACAAGTAAATGCTCAAGTCACCAGAATCCATGCAGCAGGATTTGTCATAGACTATAAATCTTATGCATATGTAATAGGTCTCATACAGTAGCTCCACAGTCAGACTAGATGACATTCTGTGAAAGCTCAGGAGTATGTTTGACAGCTTCTCAATTCAAATTGTTGCATCAGAGGGAAAAGGACCTGTCCTGTTAACTAGCAGGTTAACTCACAGGATGCTAGTATTTGCAAGCATGTGT